TGACTAATACAAACATCCTGGTTATGTATCAGGTGACTGATGCTTTATCTTTGTTTTACTTTCTTTTTTTTTTTTTATGCATTACTTCCCATTTTGGAAGTGACTGCATTTCTTATGTTATCACTCAACATGGGAAAAACCCAGGAAAATGACACATAGCGCTGGCTTGATATTGCAGACTTGTTCCAAGCTTTGTATTTATTCTTAACAGCATATTATGACCGACTCCACAGGAAATGGATCCTTTTGAAATCAAACAGACTCTAAAAATTCCAGACATTTCTGAGTCAGCAAATCAACATTTTAGCTTAGTGCGCAAAAGTGAAAAAAGTAAGAATTTTGCCACAGTAACAATAAGTCTGTGATGTTTATTACTGAAAATCATTGTGAACACTTCTTTTTAATATTAACTAGAAAGTCAACATACAGATTTCTATGGATTTCTGGAGAGGAAAGTACTATGTGTGGAAGAATCTGGAATGTAAGCTTAGCATATAAGTGTAATTAAACAAAAGGAACAAGCTTCTTTTCTTCAGTCTGATCGAAAAGATCACCATGAAAACATTGAAACCCTGTACTGTTATAGCTACATACCTACAGTACTTTTAATACACAACTGTACCCATGTTTCTTTTCCAAACCCATCATACTTTTGGCCTGCTCAGCATCTTGTGACAATGAATTCTGCAGTTTAATCACACTTTGTTGGAAAAGTACGCCCATTTAATTGCTTTGAGCATGACACGCAGGATTGTTTTTTACCTACTTCCTACTGAGTATGAGGGCTTATGAAAAATCATTCTCCGTTCTTATTTCACATAACATTCATGATTTTATAAATCTCATAATATTTTCTTTCAGTCATATCTTTTCCAGGTTGATGAATCCTTGTCTGTTTAATTACTCATGGCAAAAATGTGCTGCATACCTCTGAGCATTCTTGTTGCTGTTCACTGTATGTTTTCTAGTTCTACTATACCCCTTTAAAAATGGGGTATGTGGGTAATACCCAAGAAGTGGATGCAAGTTTAGCATAATCACATTTTCTCTTTTTTTTATAACTCCTTTCTGAATGATTCCTAGAACTCTGCTTGCCTTTCTGACTGCTGTAAGACATTGCACACAGTTCTCCAAAAAGAGCAAACCAGTGACACCTAGATCTACTCCTTCAGCAGCAATGGCTAATTTACAAATCCTCCTATGTATTATACAGCCAGGTTATAGGTACAATTAGGCTTACTGAGTTACATCTGCCCTTTCATGAAACAGGCAGTATTGTGACATCTTTCTACAACTCACTGAAGGCAGACATCGATATACCTATGCTCAATAATTTTGTATCTTCAACAAATACTGACATCTTACTAGCACCATATTTTCTAAATAGTTTTGAACACGTTGACCAGGAGAAGACCTCGCTGTTGGCAATCTTCATCAAAAATTACCATCTACTCATACTGTTATTTCCCTCCTTTTTAACCAATTGTCAAGCTATGACAGATCCAACTATCTAATTCTACTAAGAGTTAAAACTCATGAGGAACATTTCAGATTTTTGGAAAAACAGGCGTACCACATTGACCAGGTTCCACCTGTCTGTCTCTAGTGGATATGTGAGGTAAGACTTTCCTCTTCAAAGGGGACATTGGCTTCTCCAGTATCAGCCTATCAGTTTCTCCTGTTCTCTATTAGAAGGTAGGGAAACTGGGAAAAATCTATTATGTTCTCCCCTCACAAGGAAGATTATTTTTCATAGATATAAATCCTAAAAAATTCTGGAAATAAAAGCTTCTTAGACAAGACGCTTGTTCTGACAGCATATTTGGACTGAGTTAATCACCTTTTCTCCACCTAGCCTTCAGTTTTTAGAGAAGGCAGTGAAATGAGGAGAGTTAAGCAGGTTTTTTGACTCAGCTAATACAATACGGTTGTTGAGGTCACATTTTCAAGATTGAAAGCAGATAAGAGAAACAGAAAGATACCAAAAAAGATTCTTATCACCTTCAGATTGCCCTGCTAAAAGATAAACTGGCAAAAAAACTGCAAAAGTTTGAAATGCTCAATACTTCTATTTACCTTGAGAGCACTACTCTGGAAACGTTCCTATTGCTTTTTTTTTTTCTTTTTATGACATACCACTGAGAATGTTGCCTTCTCCCATATGCAGAGGCATGGATAGCATTCTTTTCTCTGCCCACAGTTTAGACAAAGTCAGGGAAATAAGAGTATTTATGGTTCTTCGATTCATATCTGTTCTTTCTTCAAAGCCTTGTTTTGCTAAGCAGCTGGGATTGAGACAGAGCTGTGAAAATGCTGAGAGGAATTTCAACAAACAACTTGCGTTCCCACGACTAAGAAAGAAGAACGCCAGGCCTGCCGGCTGGGGCTCCTGCCTCCGCCCCTTGAACTATCCCTTGGTCTCTTACAGCCCATTCAGACTGCCTCGATGGCATTAACCAGATTAAAAGGCTGCACTGGCCTCACAGGCGATCGAAGTCTGAAGTTTCTCCAACTAGTAATACAGATGTGAGCATTCATATTGTATTTCAAAGCAGTAGGGAGTCCATTTGTGCCATTAAGCCTTTTGGGTGGAGGAGAAAGCAGTTACTGCTTGGCAGGAGCTAGGATTATATACTGGGAAAAACACATGTATGTGGATGTTAGAAGTGTGACTGACCTCCTCAGAATGCTCCTAGCAATATAGCTGAGGGGTGTTTGGCCTTTGGGTTCCTGCTCAAGCCTCTGCCCCTTAAGCTACTCTCTTTTTTATTGCATCTCACTTCAATTGTCATGGGACACTTGGCAAATTAACAGGAATTGGGTGGTGCCAGGGAGAATTTCTGTCCAGGAAATACTGAATGACTTAAGACAAAGGTAAATGTAGGCAGATGATAGGAAGGCAAGCCTTCATTCTGAGAAGAGGATTTTTTTTAACTCTTTGCAGTGTGTTCTTTCCTTCTCTACTGCTTTATGACGTGTATGACACATATAGGGCACACATTTGCCTGTCCTCTAGACTATCATCTCTGTTCTCACTTTTAATAGACTCTCACACAGGTAAAAGAGAGATCTACCAAGTAAAAAAAGGATCAAAGAGCATAAGGTGAAACATTACCTGCCACCACCCCAACCTGGGAGATGACAGAACTGTGTTGTATCCCTTCCCACACAGACATCCCAACTGAAATTTTACAGGGTGTCTAAAGGACTTAAGATTCTAAGCTCCACTGATATTCAGCTTGGGTTTTTCCATTAATTGAAATTACCCTGCATTCGTGTGAATTAAAACTAAAGAGGATTCTTCAGGAGAACCTGGAAGTATATATCTAAATCCTTAGGCAGCTTTGAAAAGAATAGCCAAAATCCATTTGCAAACAGAGATAGCCGAGATGCTTGTATTCAGGCAAATCGCCTGCCCTGACAAGAAAATACTTTTGATCACAGGAGGGAAAGCAGCCATAAAAAAAGAGAGGACTAATTTCTTGATTTGTTTAAGTGGGCTTCTCTTTCCTTACAGTGTGCTTAAATCAAATAAAGTAGGTCACTGTAGCTGCTCTTTTAACATAGGCAGAGAAAAAACACAGAAATTAACTTTGCAATCAAATCTACAACACTAGGTTTGAAACGTAATTCTAGCATTTTCGTTAAAACCACATATCCCAGAAAAAATGCAATCCTAAAACATGTTATCATACTAAAACTGTTATCATACTAAAAATACAAAATGGTAAGCCAATATGAATATGGAAATATGTTGCCCAAGAAAATAAGTTACAGAAATCAGTAAGTAAAACTATACTGCTGATAAATTTCGAATGGATTTTTTTCTATAAATTGTGCATATCTTATTTTTGTTTACACTTCTTTCATTAGCAAGTTTTCTAATTGGAACAGTAAGTTCACTGCAATCCAGGATGAGATATCGCCCACACGAAAATCTTACCTTTTGCAACTTTTAGGAATTTTCTGTGACATAACTAACCATAGAACTTATAGAGTGCAGCATATAAGCAAGATGAATTATATCTCTCAGATGCCCATAATTGTCTAGAACAAGAGATAGCTCCATAGATTTAAATTTTTTACCTAATCATGAATGGCATTGCTGCTGCTCTTCTCCTGATCTCAGCAGCTGTGTCCAAATTTTGTGAGCAAATTTTTCAAACACTTAATTAAGACTATAACCAGAGTAGCTTTCCAAAATACCCAGTGAATTACTTATTAAAACATGAACGTGTGTTTATGTGCATAGGCAGTGACCAAAACATTGAAAAATGATCTTCACTTTAATCAGATTACACTCATTCAGAAACTCCATGCTTATTCTGAACAAACATCTGGCCTACATTTTAAGAAACAGCACGTTCATGTAAGAAAATGATTTCTGTGCCCTATTTTCTACTTGACTATCCTCGTTCTCTTTACCTTAAGCAAGATCTTTCTCTGTTCAGTTTATATCCATTCTTCTTCTTTTGACCTTGGATAACTGAACCACAGTTTATTTCATCGTATTTCTTACCCATTGCAACAATTCTCCTACATGAAACAGATTGTACAAATGGAAGAAGCATCCATACACATGTCTCAAAGCAATAAAAAATAAATATTTGCAGATTTAATATGACACAATGAACCATAAAGTGTGGAGGATGGATTTAAAAACAGATATATAATATAGAAGGATTATTTAACATTTTGCTTTCAGTTTTAGGTGCTTAAAAATAAACCTTTGGATTTTTTAAATGTTATGCAGTTTAGAACGAGGAACAGAGGCAATCATTCAGTCAAGTTTTGTGAATATGAGAATAATTATAACAACTGCCTGAATAATTATAACATGCCTTACCAGGTCCAGATGAGGAAATGCTCTGCTTAACAGCCACAATTCCATTTCTCTTTCACACGCTGGGCTCTGGCAAGGGTGGGCTGTGAGCTCTGGTGCTGCTGCATAAGCATTTCCAGGGTCATGCCTCACAAGGCCATTCAGGTTGTGTGATAGATCCAAAGCAGAACTCACTGCCAAGTGATAAAGTCATGTAAGTGCCTCTGCAAATTTTTTTTCCCCTTAACTTAGCAGAAAACAGCTTTGGGCTGCATTGGTGAACGAACTTCTCAGAGCTGCAGGGAGACTTCACTGAGAGGAAGGATAGTTATCATTTTAAATAAAATATTATATTATAGCATGAACTTAGATTTTCTTAGTCTTCAATCCTTCATATTTTCCTGAAATAGGGATTATATATCCTCAGGGATGGCCACTATAAAATTTTATAACCTTCATTAGATATGCTGGTGAGCTTTTTAAAAATAGAACAAAATAATCTAGAGCCATTATATAGGCAAATGTTCCTCAAAATTTCCTAATTTACACTGATTTAAGAGAGAAGTATTAGTTTCTGTTAATAAAAATGAATAGGCTCTCATAAAATACTGACTTGTCTTAGTACTAAAATTCTCCTCAGTCTAATGAGAACCTCCTCAAAGTTAGAGCATACAAAATCAAATGCCAGATTCTGTCACCTTTGCTCTCACAAACTCTGTTAGTAGGTACAGTGTTTTCCCAAGTGGAAGTGAAGAATGCATTCCTTTGCTTACAAAATCAATGAGAATGAAACAAAGGAAAATCGAAGTAATTATACTCACAAAATCATGAAACATCCAATATACACAAAGGCCCAGGAAGGGGGAGAGCATACAAGTTGGTTTTCATTGCACTTCTTGGTGAATACGCATAATACATTGATGAGGTCCTGACTGGCCTTTTAAAAATTTGTCATGACTTGGTTTTCAGATAGATCAGTTTCCCGCTCAGGTTCTGTGCCATGGCTACAAAAAGAAGCAGGCAACATGGAAGTATGGCTGTACGGCTAAGGAAAAGAAGAGAGTGGGAGCTCATCTTTTGGCCGCAGTAACAGTTTATGCAGGCTGATAATGACAGCCGAAGAACAATCACCAAGTAGATATTTGGCCTTTCATATTTCCGCCATTTTGCAGTGTTGCTCTGAAGAAGGGCAGGGAAAAGTGCCTAAATGCTACTGTACCATGGGTGCTGCGCATTAGGAAAAAAACACATTTGCCAAAGTGAGTCATCCATTTTCTGTCAGAATTCTTTAAAAGACAAAGTATTAAAGAGCCCAATAGCACAATTTCCACATATATCTCACTCTTTCAGGCAACATGAATCTTGCTCAAATTTGTCTGTCTGTTCAAGGCTAGAAAAAGGAGAAAACAATACCATCAAGTCTAAACCTGTAGGTAAATAACTCTGACAGTTCTTAAGATGAACTTCTCAGAGACTGATCCCTCCTCTTGTTCACATGCATCTCTAATGAGGGAAGGATCCCGCCCCCACGGTTCTCCTAATTCAGTAGGCAAGTATAGAATTATGCTTAAGGGTAGGATATTAGGAAAGTGTGATTTTTGAATTAGCTTCTTTAGTCTCTTCTCCTTCCTACCTTTTTTTACTGGTTCAAACAAATGTTCAGATCCTGCTTGAAGACAAGAGAGGAAAACCTAATTTCATTCAGAACGAAACATTCTGTTACAGCAGTTCTGTAACAGTGTAAATTGTGTTAACTTCCTACTTTTAAAGCATCCCTTCAACAACATCGTTAAAAGTTTTGGTGGCTCTAATATATGCCATTCAGTGTAACTGGAAAGATTAGACTAGAAAAAGGGTGCTGCTAAGCCAAATGACAACTGGAAATCATTTAACAAGTTTATCAGTGCCATGCACTTGCAGGGCAGATGTATTTATACTAAGCTTTGTCTTGTTGTTCTTAAACTGGGCAAACTGGGAAAGATTTCCCGTTCTGAAGTAGCCCAGGTACGTTGAAACAAAAATATCCTGAGTCACAGTCAGCCTGAGGCCAAGCTGCACAATACCGACTGTGGAAAAAAAAATCAGCCAAATTCATGAAACAGCAGCTTTGATGCTGCTACTTGGAGGCACATATTTACTGTCTTCTAGAATAATGTTTTTTATCTACTTAAAAGCTCATAATTTAATTTGAATGCTATTTTTTCCCCCCCCCTCTCATTTCTGTAAGCATTCAAAGTTATTTCTCTTCGTGTGAGAATTTGGCTGGCAGGTCAATTTATTTATGTGTATACTTATTTTGTTCAGTCACTATAATGTATTGCAGATAACGTGCCTAGGAAGTGCTTGTTCTAATTCAATCACTTGCAACAACTCATTAAATTATCCTACAACAAAATGATACACAGAGGAAATATGGACAAGTTTACTTTCCTAATTGGTCTTCTCTTTACTTGAACTTTTCTGGAAATAAGAAAAGCTAAACTGTGCGTCTACAGCAGTTCGCGTTAATAACTGCATATTAATAATGCTTATCTCTGATTCACGAAATTTCATCAGATCAGAGCTTCATGAGGATTAGACATAGGATTCTGGAGGAAAAAATGTTGTTTCCATAGTTTGTCCCTAGCCCTTTGTTTCTTTAGATGAATGTTCATTTGGGATTGGACTCTGAGGTCCAACAGAAGTGAGTTGATGCTGGAGTGTGGGAATGGTTTACTACATTTCTATTCAGGTGCAGGGGTATAGCTGAAAAGCACAAATGACCTTGAGTGGGTCCGTTATCTATAGTAGTGAAGAAGACATGGCCACAAAGTTATGACTGAAACTACAGACTATATACATTGACCAGAAGATATCACATGAACCTTGTAGTTGACAACTGAAAATGAAGAAAACGAAGTGGTTCTTCAAACAACACGTGATTAAGCTGGGGCACAGAGAAAATGAATCAGTTATTCGCTCTCTCTTCTAATTCGAGAACTAGGGTCATCACATGAAGCTAGTAGAAGCAAAGTTCAGATAAACAATAGGAGGTGGTTCTTCATGCACCAAATAGTTGACCTGGAAAACTCCTTGCCTAAGTATTTGGTGGATATCAAAAATTTACAGGGGCTGAAGGTGAAATTCAACCAGAATATAGAAGAAAATCCAGTGAAGACACCAAAATGTGCATCCAGTGCACCAAAATGTCAGCCTGATCAGGAAATCCCTGCTCTGAAAACATCAGAATATTCTGAATACTCTGGAAATACTAGAAAATACTAAAATTTGAACCTCTATTCTGAAAGTGTGTGAGAGTATTCTGGACAAGCAGCATTAAATGCTCGTCCTATACTTTCCCTTTTTTCCTAGGTATCTGCTACTGGTCCAGGTCAGGGATAAATTACTAGGTTGGATGCATCTTCGCTCTGACGCAGCATGGCCATTTTTACGTTTTTTGGGCGTACATCAGGATCCACTACAATTTATAAAAGAAACTTAAAAGTGATGTCAGAGATGCCAGCACTAGGGTATACTTGCCTGAGTCAGATTTGTATAGATTGTGTCTGATAGTAGCTATTTAATAATGTTTTATCAGAGAACAAAATATTA